TGTTGCGAATCCTTTCCTTTAACTTCAGTGATATTGTGTTCTCCTGACCTCTTTGAAATTCTGGTAATTCTCCTACTGTTCAGATTACTGTGCTTCTGGATTTCCGCTGCGTTCTGCATAGACCACTAGCTATTTATACAAAACACAAAAATGCTTTTTCTCTAGAGACAATTATCACCTGTCATGCAGACAGGGTGGCACAGTGAAAAGTAAAATACTCAAACCAACAGTTTGAAATCAATGGGATAATTTAAGTATTCAAAGAACCCGTACTTGTATCACTCAAGTTATTTCTAGAAAATGCTAAACTCACAGGATTACTAAACAGTGTGAACAATCTAAAGGCCAGGGATTTAGCCCAGTGGTTCCAGCACCTGCCTACCTGCCTTGCAAGCATAAGGTCCTGAGTTCAATCCCCAATACTGGGAAAAAAAAAGAAAAAAGAAAAAAAAACAATGTGAACAATCTAAAAGTGCATTGAGGGTAGGTCTGTGTGTATTCTGGAGCAGGGACCATACTTTCTGTGTTGTTTGAATTTACCTTCAGGAAGGACTGCTCACCAGTCTCCTTTCCTCTCATTTGGAGACCCTCTGCAGCCAGACTAGGATGTGGGTTATAAATGGTATGAAAGCTATCGTCAGCTGTGCCAGTTTAGCAATATTAGTCATTACCCATCCTCTGGGCCCAGATTTAATTACCCTGAATTTTACACCAAAAAAAAAAAAAAGTTTCGTGAAGAAAATAAATTTGATAAAATTTTTTGAAGGTTATGCCAGCAGAGTGAGGAGTGAAGGCTAGCTCTGGGCTTTCCAAACATAAAGGAAAGAAAAGTACACACACAAAGAAAATGTGCTCTGGGAAAACTATATTTTTAAAGCATTTTCCTTGGCGGTACTTCTTCTACAAGAACTGTGACGAGTTAATTTCTCATGTCTGTACATAGGGCATAATCCTAGAGCCTCTCCAAGAGATGGGGGCTGCTTTGCCTGCACGGCAAGGTCCCACCTCTTTGCACATTTAAAATTATCTGTGTAAACACTGTCATTATCTGATCAATTCTAAAATGTCATAATTTTAGCTGAATGTCTTAAATAATAAAATAAACCTCCTTATGAAAATACTAATTTTTAAAAATTTAGTCAATGACCTATTAGCATTATTTCTAAAGAATGCTAACACAGTTGCTTAATCTTTGTAAATTTTAAAGAAAATAGGTGTTAAAATTCGGCAACAGCATGGGAATTTATTAGTCTACATAACAAAGCTATCATTCCTTCGCCTACAATATTTTTATTATAGATATACTTCTCTACTGTCTTACTAGTGAAAATTTCATTTTACTAGTAATTTTCCAGTTCCCAATCTTTGACATTTATAAATGAATGATTTACATTCCATGATTCGAACAAGATATGCCATGTACTGGTGCCAATTACCCACAGTGAATGTAAACATTATCTATCATTAACATGAGCTGAGAATAATAATAAGAATGAAGACCAGGAAAGTAGATTAGAGATGGAGGGTGGTGGATAGGAAGTGGATTTTAAAAAGAAACAAGCTCCTTAGGAACATGTACCTATTTCCCAAGATGAATATAAATGTCATATACTGCAAACATGCACCTATAAAATTAAAATTTTAAAAATTAATAATGTTCCTTGGTCCTGACAAATAAACTTTTACTGCAATATAAAAATTAGTTAGCATAAGTAAAACAAATCAGTTTTGTCTTTCATCTAAAAATGTCTTTTGACACCAAAATTTTCTCAGAGCGTTTTTCATCTCTGAATTTCTCAGGGTGTAGATTAAGGGGTTGAACATGGGCGCAATGATGGTGTAAAATAGAGCAAAGATTTTGTCTTCAGGGAAAGTGGTAGGGGGTCTCAGGTAAGCAAAGATGGAAGGTCCAAAAAATAAGATCACAACAGTGATGTGAGACCCACAGGTGGACAGGGCTTTGCGTCTTCCCTCTGCTGAGTGATTTCTTAATGTGAACAGTATGATGATGTAAGACCCAACCAAGAGAACAAAGGTTACTAAGGCAACCATTCCAGAATTGGCAACTATGAGTACACCAGTGACATAGGTATTAGTACAGGCAACTTTCAGCAAAGGAAAAATGTCACAATAGTAATGGTCAATTTCATTGGGGCCGCAGAAGGGCAGCCTGGTTATCACAGAAAATTGGGAAAGGGAATGGGCAGCCCCACAAGCCCAGGCAGACACAATCAGGAGGCTGCATCTAGCTCTGTTCATGATAATCATGTAGTGGAGAGGTCTGCAGATTGCCACACAGCGATCCAAGGCCATGACTGTGAGGATGAAGACTTCAGTTATTCCAAAGAAGTGCATGGCCAAGATCTGTGACATGTAGTTCCTGTAGGAGATGGACTTTCTTTGCACTAGATCACCAATCAATTTGGGTGTCACACAGGAGGTATACCAGATGTCCGTGGAAGACAAGTGACTGAGAAAATAGTACATTGGTTGATTAAAAAGATAACTGCATCGGATGGAGATAAAGACCAGAAGATTTCCCACCAAGATGGCAAGGTAACAAAACAGGAAGAAGATGAAGCAAAATATCTGTACTTTCTGGTCAGAAGAAAGACCCAGGAGAATGAATTCTGAGATGTTTCTCTGACTTTCCATATATGGTATGAATGCACAAATAATTATCTGAGGAAAAATGAACATAGATAGCATTTGTAATAGGAGCACAGTCATATAAAGATTACCAGAAAGTCACAGAAGTTACTCAAACAAATCATGGAAGCTCATAAATAAATATATTAATAATTTTTTTTATTTCTCTAGTAGCTGTTTTTGAAAAAATGTTCCAAGCCATCTCTCATATTGGTAGTACTAAGAATATAATTTATTAAACTGTGAAATCATAATGATTGAAAAATGCAATTTCAAAATAAAAGAAGTTCTGATGTTGCCATTTATAACATTAAAATATAAGAAAATGTTAACATAATGCAGGACATTTATCTAATCTGTAATTTTTAATTTTATTCTTTGTTCGCAGTGCTATCAGTTTAGGTGAGGGCCTCTTCTCCAGGCAAGTGACAGAACAGGTCCCAGAATTGCTGGCAGACATCTAATCAGGGAATGTATTTGTGATTTTTTTAATTCCTTAAATTGTTAGCTGTGTGATCGGCGCCTAATGCAGCTCAAAACATAAGAGTAAGAATGTAGGTGTGTGGGCCCTTCTTGTTAAAATAAACACAATTTGATGCCTATGTTACAAGACAAAAAGTGAAGATTCAGTAAAGGAGTTGAAGCTTTTTTGTCAACACACCTTGAAAAATAAGACAGTTTGTATATATTTATTTAAATTTTAGTATGGAAAAGATAACTTCAGGCAAGCTCTAGAATCAGTAATATTAATATTATAGAGACGCAAAGAAAAAAGTAATTGAAATTGACAGGTAATTTAAAATCTGCCCCATTAATATGTTCTGCTCCAACTAATTACGGATATTAAAAGTGAATGAAGATATTATGCAATGGAACTGTAAAGTGTAGTCAGGAATTATTTGGCTCTTGTCTGTTGCATGATTATTAATGGCTCTGCATAAATTATTCTTTATAAGATCAGGATAGAATTCACACAACAACGGAAGAGAGCACTACAGACAGAATGCATTTCTGAGTGCTCTTTTCCCCACTGGTGAGAAACTAAACAGCAGTCAGACAGACTTTCTACTGTACGGCCAGATTGTATGTGTCAGACATATACGGCCCCATAGATCCTACTCATTAATAATATGGAACTTCTACTGCAACAATATGCATAGAGCAATAATTTCCAGGAAGGGACAGTCTCAATTTGATTATTTTCTGTCAACATCTCCCTCAAATTGCCTAGTTCCTATAGTGCTGCAAGAGCTCCATAAAAGTTAATAAGCTTTGCTAATTTATTAAACTGCATGGGCATAATTATCATTACAAATGATCCCTCATTTAAGAAAACTGTATCTTATATTCTTTTATATAAATGCACATAAAACAGAAGTGAAATTAAAATGTTTGAAATAATAAGGTAATCTAGTCATTAGATTGACTTAAGAATTAAAATATCTATCTAACCCAAACATAGCATTTCCTGTATAGAAGGAACCAATTAAAAACTGAGTGAATTTCTAAGATCAGAGGTTCAGTGGACTATAGAGTTTAAAAGTAGATCATTTCTTATTTGGCTGCGATAAATATGGAAGGTGTTTCAGATGCACAGCAGTAGAAGAAACCACTGCACTTCTCATGTGATAAAAGGTGATTATTGATAGTCTCTGAGATCACTGTCAAATCCACCACCATGGTTCTAAGAACAAATGCGTGGAATAGCACTTTTCTATTTGAAACCTTTACCCAACTTCAGGCTGTGAACTAGAACAGTGTAACTGTTAATATTTAAACCCACATACTTATGGAAGTAAGATTCTCAGCTGGAGGTACAATTAGTATAGCGCTATGAACGACTTTAAATTACAGGAATTGTAATCAGGAAATGAAGAAATACTTTTGAAACTTTTATGCCATTATGCACGAGGAGGGGAAATAATACATTGTTAAGTAGAAGTATGTGCTTTTAAATCAATGAAGAAAATTTTAAAATAAAAGAATAAAATCCAATAAGCAGCAATTTGTATGTAAGCATTGTCTATGTACCAGCAGATTTGTGATGAAACCAAAAGAATATCAGGCATGTAAACGTCTCCAAATCCATATATTTGCCATCAGGTGAAATATATAAATTGAAATGTGGCTATGTGTGTCTGTTTTAATCTTTGATTTAAATTTCATAGAGTAGCTGATTTCAAAGCTATTCAGCCTTTTCAGATGAGCAACAGATGAGAATCATCCAGCATGGGTTTAGACAGTCTGTACAGCTGACTTCCCAACAATTGTTTCACATCTTCCACTTTCTGTTATCATTTATGATAAATTTTAGAAAACAGAAGTCAAATTATTATAAATTTCTTTATTCATAAATCTGTTGTTTCACACAGGACAGTTTAACTTTTCTAAATTTGAATTTAAGCAAATTAAACTGAAGTAAACCATTCATGGAAACAGTGATGGGAACATGAGATTATGATACACACTCTCTTGGTAGAATGAACAAAAGGCACATAACTAAGAACTATTTGTCTTCTTATCGTCTTTCAATGAATGCATTAATAATTTTCTAAGTTGTCTTTCAAAAGAGGGACACTTCCAAAGAAACATTCCAAACACAAGCATTAGCCTAGACTCTAGAAGGGAAATCTGAACAAGCTGGATGTAAACTGCTCATTGGTAAAGAAGAAGGAATGAAGGATCAGAGAGAGTGAGAGAAAGATCAAAGAAGGAAAGAAGGCAAAAGAGAGGAAGAAAGGGAAAAATAAAAATCAATCCTGTGAAATGTCCTAACATTTAACTTTAAATAAGTAACCTTCTATACTCTCAACACTAAATTTAAAAGTTAGTTTTCACCCTTGGTAGCATTGCTGAACAATTCCAATCACTCTTTATAAGACAGTCAGCAAACATGTCTCCTGTAGGTTAAGTAGTTTCATAATAGGTATATGTTTTTCTATTGGTGATACCAGCAGATGCTTTTACCAGACTTCCTTTTCCTGACTTCAGGAAATCTAGAAGATTTTAGGAGAAAGACATTTGAAGAGTAAGAATTTACCCAAAGGTTGGAATCTGCAACATTGACAATCTGCACGTTCTGTTGCTTTTAAATGTGTCATCAAAAATTCAAACGCTGCCTGCAATACACAATGAAAACAAACATTGCCAAAAACAGTTCTACTTTCATTCAAATTCTAATGGACCATATCTGAACTCACAGCACTAAATAACAGAATAAACACCAAGTAGATCTAAAGATGCTTAAACAAGGCTCATGAGGAAAATTACCCACACATCTATAGTGAGTGGTCTTCAAGTCTGTTTTGTTATTCAGGAAAATGTCTTAGCTACTCATTCAGCATCCCCAGTTATGTAGCTGCTGACTTTTTCGTAGCATTTACCTCTGAAATACAAGTATAAATTAATGAATCAGAAATTTATATCTCTTCTCATAAAATATTTTATTACTGTGTTCCTTTCATCACAGGAGGATAATTCCACAATTTTCCAAGGAGATTGAAATTTAAGTATGTCTGCAAACTGTCCTCTATTATGGAATAAAGTTTTTTCCATAAGAAAATGACCTAGGATTTCAGTTGCTGATACAACTACCTGACATCTGCTCATACTTGAATGCAAACAAGAACATATTAAAACAACATGCATGTATTTGCTCTAGGACTTACCACTTTTCTATTACATCTAACATGTACTGCACTGAAAGAGCTAGATATATCCAGAGAAGGGACTGTTCTACAAAATGACTATTCCAGGGACTGTATCCAGATAATGGCTGTTATTTATTTTGAAAGTAAAGAAAAATTATTTTCCCACAGGCATTTCTTAAAAGTTCTCCTTAGAATAACATTACTCAATTGTCCAAATTGATATTCTCCATGTTCCTGGGAATTTCCTGAGTCTGAGTCTAACCTGAGGTACATTTTTAGTATCAGTCACTTTCTCTGCATCTCTAGAGGCCCATGGGTGATTTAGACCCAGGGGAGCTCAGGAAATGCAGCTAGGTTAGCCACAGCTGTCTTTTGAAGAGCAAGAGACACACTTGGGAGCATTTTGCTTTCCTTCTAGGGAAGTCTCTATTTCTGCAGATAATGAAGAAAAGAAGAAAGGTCAAGAAAATAGAGAGAGAGAGAGAGAGAGAGAGAGACAGAGAGACAGAGAGACAGAGACAGAGAGAGAGAGAGAGATCCAGAACCCCAACAAAAGCCATTATCAGAATAAACACGTATGCAAAAGAGTCAGTTAATAAATCAATAGTCTAAGAACCCACTATTTTCCTGGACTAGCAACCATGTAACAGTAATAAACTATTACTTCTACACTGGATGGTTTAAGATGTGAGGTATAAAGAAATATGGATAATAACCAGAATAAATTAAAATTAGAACAAATGTTCCTCTCTTACTCATACATTGGTACAGGACCCAAGTTCATTGCTGAAATTATTAGAGAAGACAAGAATGAAAAGTATATTATATCTGTGTACGATGCCCATGTACCCTACTCATGGAAGGGCAGCTGACTGCCTCTCCAGCATACAATATCTGTGTACCACACCAGGGTGCAGTATCATCATTATCTTTCCAGAGATTGATGTACTGGAGTCTTCCACCCACTTTGGAGCAATTGCGATCTGGTGGAAATTGAAGAGAGGGACTCCAGAGCTAGGAGTGTGGTCCTGAAAAGTGGGTCTCATTGAACCCTCAGGTGCTAGTGAGGGGCTGTTATTCAAGGAGTGAGCCTGTCCTATGTCCCCTCCCTGACTCTGCTCCTGATTTGAGGTCACTTCACTTGCTCCCCTGATTTGAGGTCCCCTTCACTGCTCTCGATGCCAGGAGGTGACAGCCCAAGGAAGACCTCCTGAGCACACTCTTGCTGTTTTCATTTTCAGCCTCCGAAATGTGAGCTCAATAAAGCTTGTTCCTGAATATCCTGTGTGTAATATTTTTATAACAGTGCTAATAAAAAGGCTGAGTAGCTAATAAGTCTGACTAGCAGTAATCATGCAGGAATTTACTACACATCAGTATTTCATAGTATCTCATCAAAATCACAAGTTCACTAAGACAATCCTCAATGCTCTCATATT